ATACTTGCTCTTTATGTTTTCAAAAGTTATTTGCTTTTCAAAGTGTGAGTGGGTTTGAAAAAGTTTCTTTGAAAGATTTCTGAATAACTCTTGTATCTGTCCTCAAGAGTGTTTGAAAAATTGTTTTGAAAGCTTTTTTGAAAGTGTCGGTGTGAAAAGATTTTTGTTTTGTTTTTTAGAGAGCAAGTATCCATGAGTCGTCTACCTACCCTAAGGAATTAAGTTGCGTAGAAGTCCTTTAGGTAGTGTCATCCCACCATTGAGAGGTAGGTAGCACCACCGTTGGAGGTGTTTGGGTCAATTCGAGTGTAGGGACAGTGTGGTCACCGAAGCAACAGCAGGACACCTTAGAAGCTACCCTTATGTCCTTGATCCTTTTTTAAATCCGAGGCAATTGTTTCGAGGAAACTATTCTGAGGCAACTGTTTCGAGGCAACTTGTTTTGAGGCAACTGAATCATGGACATAAGGACTTACTAAGACGTCCTATACTTGACGACCACGTTTCGAAGGCAACAGGTGAGGCGTACCCTAGAAGTGGTGTGTGTATTTGTGTGTTGTTTTCAATTAAGTTTTATCTTTGATCAGGACATTGTGAGTTACGCTTGTTTTTAATTAACCATACATTCTTTCATGCAATTTAGAATTTAAGAGTGCAGAAAGTAAAAGCGGAAAGATAAAAACTACGCTATTACAAGGCGCAGGTCTATACATCGCCAAAGTACAAAGACCCGTTTTAATAAAAGATGCGGAAAGTAAATAAATGTGGTAAACCTAATTACTATTACAATCCTTGAGCAGTTACATAATATTCAAAAGAAAATAATGCACGGAATAGAAATTAAAATTGAACGTTCGAGGGTTTTGACCCTTTGCTTGAAATTAAAGTCTAATTATTATTTAATTAAAGAAAAGGAATTATTTTTTTATGTTTTTTTTTTGGTATTTATGAAAATAAAGAAAATTAAAATCAAGATGAAACCCTAATTCTATGTATTTTAATTATTAATAAAAATATTAAAGTTGACCTAATTTACTAATTAATTAATGTACATGTTTATTTACAAAAATAAATAGTAATTAACAATAATAATAAATAATGAGAAAAATGATTTAATTAAGAAAAAGATGAAAATGTCAAAAAAACCCTATTCTAGATATTTTTTATTTGTTAAGAAAAAGATTAAAGTAAAACCTAAATTAACTAAATTAATTATTAACATTTATTTACAAAAATATGTTAGTGATGAATTAATAATAATTAAATATATTTTATTTTTTGGTTTCTGATTTTTTATGGAAAATTATTTTATGGTGAGAAAAACAAAACAATTAAAACAATTTTAAAAAAGAATTAGAATTGAAAAGAAAATAAAATTAAAAGAAGCAAACCAAGGGGGGTTTTCAGGCCCAAATGGAGGTGTTATTGAGGAATTCAGGCCCATCAGCCAAGGGCCTTGTTTGACTTTTCTGATCATGCATATGCTGGTTGACTGGACCATATGATGGTCTTCATCTCCTGACTCTTGGATGGAAGCTCATGGCCATGTGGCAAGCTTGGACGTGAGGCTGCATGATGGACCCTGGGGCGTGCACTGCATGGGAATGGATTAGAAAAAATAATAACAATTGTATGGGGGACCTGGGAATCGAACCCAGGTCCCAGCGTTTACCAAGCGTATCCCTTGCAAATGGAGTTGTCGTGCGCGTTTGTATATACAATGGAAAACAAATATTATAATGAAAAAACAAAAGTTAATAATGTAAAACAAAAAAAACGCGCTGAAATTCAAATGTTCCAGTTACAATATGCCACGCGTGCTTCGTCTTTGTCTTTCCTGCAAATTATAAAACAAGTAGCGGGGGTTTTAAACCCCCACCAAGCATATTCACGAAAAATAGCGAATAGAAGATGCGTTAACATAAATTGAGCGCGAGGTCATCATTCAATTCGTATGGAGCTCCTGAATTCAACTGCATAGGTCTCAAGGTCCAATTTTTCCATACAAGGAAAACCCTATTTTGAAGCTTCTGAAACCCTAGGTTTCATCAATGGTGGATTTTGATACAAGCAGTGTTAGTCCAATTAAACGGTACCAATCGCTTCAGAAGATCATTATTAGTGTAAATCAATGAATAAAATATATGAATGATGCGTAGAAATTGAAATTCGATTATGGAATATTTGTGAAGAAACGTGATTCAGTTCTACCGATTCTTGGAGTATGGGGACTTGTTCTTGATGCCAATAGCTTCCTGGAAGGTCCAGCAACGTGTTGGAATACTTTTTATGCTTTGAAACGCCCTGCAAATATGATTTCAGTTTCAAGCTTTTCTTGGAATTTTTGAAAATTGGTTCTCTATTCTCAACAGCTTTTTCGTGTATCCTTGAATAGGGTTGAGTTGTGCATATGTATGTGAAGCATTCTAGGTCAAAAACAAGCCCATGGATCCATGAATTGATGACTTGAATCTTTGATTGCCAATCATATATTTTCTAATCTTTTTCCATTGAAACTTTTGCCAATCATGGAAAATATTCCCTTTTTGAATGTGAAACGACTTGCCAGCTTGCCCTAGTATGATTTGCTGCACAAAAAGATTTGAAAAAGCATTATTTGATTTTTTTCTACAATTAAAACTAATTAAATGAATTAATAAGAATAAAAATTCAATTAATTAATTAAAAATAAGGAAATAAATCCTTTTAAGCTCAATGGGTCGTGCATAGGCTTTGGGTAATGATTCAAGGAAGAATTTGAGGCCCATTAGCAAATTTGAAGTGTTTTAGGCAAAGTTGACTTTTCAAAATTACCAAATATTTCCCAACTTCTCCAATGCATATCTTGCTCAATTTTGAAGCTATGATCATGTTCTTGGACATTTTGGAAAGGTCTTGAAGTCCTCTAACCAATGCCTTTGGTCCCATGTCATTTTGATTTACCAATATCAAGTTATGGTCTTTGACTTAAAGTGCCTTTTTGTTGACTTTTAAAAATGACCTATAATGTTGAAATTGATAACTTTTTGTGAGAGCATTTCTTGGACTTGGAGTGTGAAGAGGAGTTGTAGGAAATGTCATCCCCTTCAAAATGAGCTTTAGATGGAATTTTTCTGATAAACCATGAAGAAGTTATGCCCTGGTCAATTTGCAGTTGACTTTTCATCTGTCCAAAAATAGAAACTTTTGCATCTTGAGACTTTTTGAGCCATGCTTTGAAAATCATGATCAAGAATTGATCAAATGATGATTGTGGCTTCAAAATAAGATGTTGACCAAAAATTTTGACTTTTGACTGTCAAATGACCATTTTGCCCCTACAGTTGACTGTGAAGCATTTAGGGTTTTTGACTGTGCAATTTGATGCTGTGAGTCTTGAAACTTGACATATGGATGCTTGACCATGTGTATAGGCATATAGGACTTGATTGGACCCTTGAAAACCTCAATTTTTTTGCAAGAACCAAAACCCTAATTTTGACTGTGTTAGGAGGCCATTGGACTATGCAACCCTTGAGAGATTTTGAAGCTTGATCTTGCCAAATCTTGAAGAATATGGGAGGGCAAATTTTGGGGTACAACAATGTGAAAAGATAAAAATAGCTGAAAACAACACACTCGCACATCCGCACTCCTAGGGCACACCCCACTTGGATGCCTTCGTAAACGGTCATTGAGCATAGGTTGTTTTAGAGGTCGCCCTCTTGTCTAAAAGATCATAGTTGCCTCGAAACGGTTGCCTCGGATATTGTTGCCTCGAATGAATGATCTAAGACATTAGGGTTACTGCTAAGACATCCTAACGTTGCTTTAGTGACCGTACGTCCCTCTTTCGAATTGACCCTCAAACTCCAACGACGGTGCTACCTACTCACTTATAGTGGGATAGCATTGTCTAAAGGAAATTAGCATAGAACGATTCCTTTTTTGAGTAGGTAGATAGTTCTTAGATACTTTCTCATCCAAAACAAAACAAATTTTTCACACTTACACTTATTTTCAAATAAAGTTTTCAAAAACACTTCATTACACTCTTGAGGACAGAAGCAAGAGTTAAATCGAAGTTAAAAACAAAAAATTTTCAAAACCCACAAACACAAAGAAAACATTTTGAAAATGATGAGCAAGTACCTAAGAGCCCGTAGATAACTACGGATAGAAAAGGTGCTAATACCTTCCCTTTCTATAATCTACCCCCTGTACTCAGAAATATCTCGAAAAAGGAATTTTTCTGTGCTTTTTTCCTTTCCTTATTGGATAAAATAAAAGTCGGTGGCGACTCTTGCTTACCGCGACATTTTGCGAAAACAAACGCAAAACGCAAACCAGCATTCCAAAAACAGTCAGTTCTTCCCACTGTATCACAGAACTGGCGACTTCACTGGGGACTCATAAGTAGGGTGTACCTTAGGTAGGGGTGTGCATAATAACTGGTGACCATAAACCAAATTACTATCCAAATAAATCCAAATTTAAAAATCCAACCCAAAGTTATGTTTATAAATTGGTGACCCATTTATTAAATTAAAAAATAACCGGTACCCATTGTTCTAAACTGGACCAAAGTATGGGTCACTGTTACTATACTCCTAACTTTGAGAAACATACGCAGTAAAACACAATTACACAAATCTCATAAGCCCAAATTTTCAAAAACCCTAATCTTTTTCAAATTTTCTTCAACAAAATTTCAACGTTCTTCACAAAAGCCTCCACGTTCTTCAAAATTCATCCCAATCTTCTTCAAAAATCTCAAACATCAGCAAAATTGTTTTTCAAATTCAACAAATTCGTCCTTCAACAACGCCTCCACGAGCTTTCTTCTCAGAATCAGGTGAAATTCTACTTAGAATTTTTAGTTTTCACAAATTAAAAGCTTTTTAATTATGGGTTTATCTAATTAACTGCACAATCGATGAAATTCAGGTTAAAGCTTTTTAGTTTTCACAAATTGTTACAGATGAACCCTATTCACAAGAAAATCCCTGTTCTCATTCATAATGGCAAACCCATTTGTGAATCTCTCATTGTTGTTCAGTATATTGATGAGGCTTGGAATGATAAATCTCCTTAGTTTCCTTCTGATCCTTATCAGAGATCACAAGCTAGATTCTGGGTTGATTTTGTTGACAAGAAGGTATAAAAGTTTACCCTTTAGCATGTTTTTCTTGTTCTATCATTTGATTATCTAATTGAGTGTGTTTCAATTCTCAATCTGAAATAGGTCTATGAAAATGGAAGGAACCTTGTTTGGACCAAAAATGAAGAAGAGAAAGAAGCTGCAAAGAAGGAATTCATAGAAGCCCTCAAACTGTTGGAGCAAGAGTTGGGAGACAAGACTTATTTTGGAGGAGAGAAGCTTGGTTATGTGGATGTAGCACTTATTCCATTCTACACTTGGTTTAAAGGCTATGAGACTTTTGGTAACATCAATATAGAGAAGGAGTGTCCCAAGTTTATTGGTTGGGCTAAGAGATGTATTGAAATAGAGAGTGTTTCTAAGTCTATTCCTGATCAGGATAAGGTCTACCAGTTCATTGTGGAGGTCAGGAAGAAGAGGGGCATCGAGTAGGTTGGACATGTTCAGTTAAGTGATTCGTGGTGAGTTTGTCAAAATTAACCATGAATCAGATTATGTACTAAATGATTTCGGTTGTCTTAATCTTTCTGTTAAAATAATTATGCAATAAAAAGGTACTTAGATGTACCAAAGTTTGTGCTTTTAGTAGGAATTGTAATGTTTGTATTTATTGATAGTAGTAACTGTTGTAGGTATGGTATAAACAGGATTAAAAAGAATGATGCTACTATTTGTTCCGTTTCTAATGCTTCTTCTAATGATTTTGATTTTGCTTTTGCTTCTCTTAATACACATATTAAGCTTGAACAAGCAATTCTTAGCTTTAAATTTAAAATGAGTACAAACAAATCCATTTGTGAGTCACCAAATATAGTTTGAATATATTGATGAGGTTTGGAATGATCAATCTCTTTTGTTTCCTTCTGTTTCTTACTATGCAGTAAACTCAGATCCCTTGTAGTGCTTCATTACCATGATTATGCTTAGCATAGTTAGTCATTATAAAAGTTTTTGTTTAGTCTCCACATAATTAGACTAAACAAAATTAGCAACTGGTTTTTTAGACTAATTAACTGGTTTTTTATAAAACTGGTTTTGAAATCGATTTTTATAAAGAAAATTAAAAACTGGTTTTTAGAAAAATCAGTTTAAAATTGGTTTCTTTTTAAAAACTGGTTTTTGTGAGAAACCGGTTCAAAACCAAACCGATCCACATGTAAACCGATTTTAGAAATATAAACCGGTTTTAATGAAGTAATTTTAAGACCCAAACCAAATTATATATATGGTTCAATTTGGTTTGGTTATTGATCCATGCACACCCCTAACCTTAGGAATAGTTCATCATAATGTTTTCAATTGATTAATTTGTATGCTTTATCTTTGTGGGCTTGTATCGGAGTTACTATAGATCCTAACCCGGATCTGAGGATACCTTTTAGGTAAGTGGCAATAGACTGTGAGGGAACTGTATGACATAGACCGATACGGTTGAAGCAGTAGCTACGTTGGTGTGGCACTTTAGTTTGTACCGATATCCCTTGTGGTGGAACAAGGAGAATATGGGTCTTCTAAGGGGTCATTAAGCACCAACTGACCTTAGAACCTATAATTGACCAACTTGGCCATAGAACAGTAGCAGTATGCTACACTCATTGAGACCAAACTCTCGCGATGATTCCGGCCACAAGAAAAGGTTGTCAAACTAGAATTATGACCGATCGAGGGTGGTCAATGATATTGAGATCTTCTAGAACCCGGTTACTATTATTAGGACAGGTTGAACCAACTAAGCTGAAAGAGGGTAATACCTAAACTCCTTGCCATCCTGAAATTTAAGGGCTACTGTGTGACTTGTTTGCCCTTACCATGTTTTCTATTTGTGAATACTTGTGGTGTGTTTCTATCATGACATCATGTATCATGACATTGCATGCATCTTGCATCAGACTAACCCATTTCAAAGACAGAGGGGATTCATCTTTGTTCTGTTTTGTAGGTCATGGCCTTTATGCATAGAAACACTATTCGGATCAGCTTTGTACAAATTCCTACTCAGCTTAGAGATTTGGTTGCAAAGGTTCCAGATACTTCCTCCTTTATCATAAGACATGGTCACCTCCTTAGTTTGGTCACTTCTAAGATGGATGAGCAGATGTTGAGTGTTTTGTGCCAGTTCTTTGATCCATTATACCACTGCTTTACTTTCCTGGACTATCAGTTAGTCCTTACTCTGGAGGAGTTCTCTGATCTACTTGGTATTTCTATTCTAGAGCAGACACCATTTACAGGTTGGGAGAAAGTCCTTAGGCCGGAAGAGATTGGTTCAGCCCTCCATCTGACAAAGGCTGAGGTAATGTCTAACTGGGAGACTCGGAGTGGGACAAAAGGCTTCTTGGCTAAATTCTTGGTTGATCGGGCTAATCAGTTTTGGGACAGTTTGGATTTTCAAGCATTCGAGGATATCCTGGCTCTTCTCATATATGGTCTGGTTCTGTTTCCTAATTCAGATTCCTTTGTTGACGTGAATGCCGTGAGGATTTTCATGTCCCATAATCCGGTTCCCACTCTCTTGGGTGACATTCTGCACTCTCTTTATTCCCGTACTGCTCGGAAACGGGGAACCCTTATGTGTTGTGCACCATTGCTGGTGAGGTGGTTTATTTCTCACCTCCCCAAATCTGTTTTAAAGAACAAGGAAGGCATGGGTTGGGCCTACAGAATTATGTCTCTTGCTCACACTGACATTATCTGGAGTACCAAAAACATGGAAGAAGTAGATATTATTGATCGCTGTGGGGAATACCCCAATGTTCCACTACTTGGAATTCGAGGAGGGATTACCTATAATCCTTGTTTGTCCTTACGTCAGTTTGGGCAAGCTAGGAGGGACGAACCTCATGAGTTGCTAATGTCGAGTATTGTCTTTGACTTCCAACGGGATAGTGAGGAGTATCGTCGTAGGTTCATACGATCTTGGAATAGGGTACACAGGTCTGATTCACACGAGTTAGGGATGAATACCTCTCTTCCGATGGAACCGTATCTCCGATGGGTTCGAATCCGTGCCCAAAAGCTAGGAATGCTGTACGAAGCTGTCTTACCGGTAATTATTGAGAGTGATGATAAAGAAGGGGTTTCACCTACCATCCTCCACCCACACATGCCTACTGACATTGGGGCATTAAAGAGGTCTTGGATGCAGCTAAGAGAGGAACGGGATACTTACAGAGAAAAGTATCACAAGCAGGAGCGGAAGATTCTAAAGCTTACAAGGCAGCTGGAGAATGAAAAGGTCCTCAATGACTATGTCAGCACAGGAGGAAAACGACCATGGGAGCGCTGATGTCTTTTTCTATTTCTAGTTTTGATTTACTATTTCAGTTTTTCTTTTTGTAACGCCTTAAAGGCATTTATCAAACATTGTTTCAGGTTTATCTAATAAAAGTGTGTTTCATTTTGGTTTACGAATTTGAATCTCTCAATGTCTTTGAAATCATATCATACGCATTTCATTCCCATGCAACTCATTACAGGTACCCTTACAGGTTTCTCATCTTCTTCGTTGTTTATTTCAGCACATCATTTCTTCTGAAACATCAACTGATCAAGCCATCAAGGATCTGCAAGCTCAAAACGCCCAGTTCCAGGAAATGTTCATGAACTTGGCTAAGGGTCAACAAGATCTGAAGACTCTTATCTTGAAGGAAAAGAAGAAGAAGAAGAAGAAGAAGAAGAAGAAGAAGAAGAAGACGGTCCTCCTGAATATGGGTCGCAGGTTCGGAAACAATTTGCGGGAAGATGTTGATTTATCTCACTCACCTGGAGGGGGAGAGAATCAGGAAGAAAGGAGGGCTCCTAGCCCTGTGGTTTCTGACAACGAGACTGACTTTGATGAAGACCAGTATCCTCCGGCTGAGGATAGGTATAAGCAACTCGAAGACCGCTTGAGCGCAATAGAGGTCCAGAAAGTCCCTGGTCTGGACTTCAGAGATTTGGGTTTGTCATCTGGGGTGGTGATTCCCCACAAGTTTAAAGCACCAATCTTTGCTAAATACGACGGGGTCTCCTGCCCAAAGCTACACCTCCGTTCATATGTTAGAAAGATCCAGCCATACACCGCTGATAAGAACCTCTGGATCCACTTCTTTCAAGATAGTCTTTCAGGGACTCAACTTGAATGGTTTTACCAGCTGGAATAAGCTAGTGTCCGTAATTGGGAAGACCTTGTTGCTGCTTTTAACAAGAAGTACCAATACAATGCCGACCTTGCTCCCACGCATACCCAACTTCAGGGTATGTCTATGGGTGTGGGAGAAGGTTTCAAAGACTACGCTCAGAAATGGAGGGACCTTGATGGAAGAGTACAACCCGTGCTGGCTGACAGGGAGTTAGTAGATATGTTTCTGGGGACTCTGTTTGGTCCGTATTTTAATCATCTGATTGGAAGTTCATCGTCCGGGTTTACTGAGTTGATCATGACTGGGGAAAGAGTTGAAGCCGGTATCAAGAGCGGTAAAATACAGAAAGGTTCTTCTTCAAGTACCAAGAAGAAGCCTTTTAAGAAGGAGTCCAGTGCATTTTACAGTTCAAAGAGCCATAATAGGCCTGAGCGCCGCCAAGCAGTCAATGCGGTTGTTATATCAAGACCAACTATTGCCACACAACGCAACAATCAGCCAAGATCCGAGAGGCCACGAAGACAATTCACTCAGCTCCATATGACCCTATCTCAGATTCTACCACGGTTGCTAAAGACCAACTTGGTGATTCCGAAGGAAGCCCCTAAGAATCCCAATACAACATCATCGCTGTACAATCCGAACGCCCACTGTGCTTTTCACTCTGATAGCCCGGGGCATGATACGAATGACTGCTGGGTCTTGAAGAATAAAGTATAGGATTTGATTGATGCTAAGGAGATTGAATTTGAAGCGCCTGAAAACCTTAATGTCATAACGGCACCTATGCCCAAACATGACGCGGGAGTGAATGCTATTGGGGATGATGAAGAAGAGTTTGATATTGACAGCTGGATATACCTGACTGTTGATGGTGGACTAAGAAATTGGACGACAAAGGATTCTATGCATGTTTCTGTTATTACCCAGTAATGAGACTTTTGTTTTGTAACAGACAATTTTTGAACTTTACGGCCCGATGTCTTACTCGAGGCACCGTGGCTTTGTTTGTAAGGGTTTGATACTTGTCATCTCCATATATCATTAATAAAAGCATTTGACGTTTTCTTGCATTAAAAATTTTGCGCTCCTTGTTTTTATTTTTTATCTTGCAAAATAGCTATTTTACACACACTCACATATACATGTCTACATCCACTCTGGATCCCACTGATAACGACTCTGCTACTGCCGGTTATGACTTCGAAAGTCCGATCAACTTAGTTGAAGACGAAGGTGAAGATGATTGCGAGGTGCCTGGTGAACTTTCTAGACTGTTACTTCAGGAAGAGAGGGTTATACAGCCTCATG